TATCTTGGATATCGATGTTTATGCATTCCATTTCATTTTTGACAACTTCCATTTTTCTAGGTCCATACTTCATACATTCTATGTTCTGATTTTTAATAGATACTTGCAACTGGTTCTCCTCATTTTAAGTTGCATCCCATCAGCAAATGAAAGTTCCAAAAGCTTACTCCATTCATGCTATTACAGTCAACTCTACTTGGAGGATGTAACTCTTTCCCAGTTGTATTTTGAGTGCCTTACAACTTGAGAGGCTCATTTTCCAGCACTATATCTATCAACATTCTGGTGATCTTCATCATATTTCAATATTCTAGTTCTATCTGATAGTGTTCTACTGTTATTCATAAGGTTTCAGTCCAGTGACTATTCAGAAGTAGTCCCTCTCTCTTTCTTTCTAGCTTGTCTTTGTCTGGGAGCTCAGCTGAAACCTGTCTACCACCGGTGACCCTGCTGGTATTTAAAATATCCAGGGCATAGTTTCCAGAATCACAGGAATATGCAAACAACCACAGTATGGCAAATTGACAGACGAGAGTAGTTGTAATGCCTGTTAATCAATATTTATTAACAAACTCTTATAAATCATAATATTACACATGACATTATATGATTTCATCTAATCTTACCTCAACAATATGAAATTTGTAGTGTTATCTGCATTTTATAAATGATTAAACTGAGGATCAGACGATTTAAAAATATACAATAAGTAATAAAAACAATAAATACTTTTGTTTAACAAAGGGCTTCTCTGTGTAAGGCAAGATGTTTTGCACATTATTTCTGGATGAGATACACATTATAATAATAGTGTTCCCTGGACTATGATCTGGAGAACTCTGTTTTGTCAAGATGCCTTTGGGAAAAAGATTCTGTGATCTAATAGGTTTGGACAATTCTGAATGCTTTTCCATTTTATTTGAAATTCTCAATGCAGGAGAACATATTAAACACAGAGAGATATCATGAAATAAGGAATGTTTAGTGTGGTACATTAGGGGTTATTTAACCATGGAAATCTTATTCAATAACACTTACCAGTGGAATCCATTTTGAAAAATGCTATCTCAAAACAAACTTACAATGTAGAAATTATGCCTCAGAACCACATACTAGGAAATCAAGACTCTGAGAAATTTAATAACTTCCCTACAGTCATTCTACATGTGACTAAACTAGAATTTAAACTTAATTTTGCTTGCTTTAGAAAATTATTTTCTGATTCTAAAGTGTATTGCCCCTGGTTACTGAATCTCCCATATTCTTTTCTTTGTTAATAAGATTGAAATGCACATGTTGAAAAGGATTGAATGTAATATTGTATATGAAAGCATTGTAAAACCCTTAAAAATTCTGGAATTAGATGGTGTACTCATTAAAGTAATACACAAATATTATTTTTTGAAAGACAATTTTTCTTTTTCCAAATCTCTGAATTACATTTTTTAAGTATGGTCTCTGTAGAAAGGCAAGCTATGTGAATTATTGTTAACTTTGATCATCTATAAATCATCAATTATTCTTGAAATGTTTTATAGCACTCTTGGTTTATTAAATAATCTATGAGAAAATAAACTTATGAAGTTTGTGGTTTCTATCTATTGAAACCATGAATAATGAAACTAAGAATAATGTAATATCAATCCCAACATCTGATGCCATTGATTTTGAAAATGTGAACTCGGATGTAGGATAAACAGTATGTTGCTTTTACTTCAATAATAACAGATAAATGATAATGCAATTTGTAGGTATCTTGTTAGCAGTACATTTATGTAAAGCAGAAAACAACTAGGGAACAAGAACTATCCTGATCATGTTTTACTGGGTAAATAAAGTGGATTGGAGAGACCTGTGATTCAAATATCGGAAGCGATTTAAAGCTAAGCAAAGAGAAGGCAAAATGCTATATGATTGCACAGATGGCTTACCTCTACTTCTGAGAAATGCATTTTGGGAGATCACTTCATATGTCAAAAGGTAATCGCATTAATGAGAACAAAGACCAACTGATCCCATATTCAGGGAAAATGAAAGGCATCTTCAATTCCCTTAATCATAGTGCAGAGGAAACAGGTCTGTGGGGACCAGCAGACATCCTCTATAAGAACAAATTAAGTATGCAGAGGATTCTCCATGTCACCAAGCTGAGTTAGAGTGGGAATTATTTACAACACTTTGAATGCAGGTGGAAAATAACTCTACAGAGGTCTGTAACTAATGTGTACGGAAATTCTTTCTTCTATTTATTTTTCCCCTTGCTCTTTCCCACAATGTACTTGGAATGAATTAATAATGGCAGAGGATCTAGAGAAATGAATGTCAAAGTGGCAATGCTCAGGAAATATTGCTTCAAGAACAACCACTGTATCCTGGGTTAGTGGAAAGGAGAATGAAATCACATCTTGTGAAAAGATGTTGCTCGATACAATGAATGAGGGCATATGAGAAGATGCAAAGGCTTCGTTTATAGCTCAGGACCTTGCATACAGCTTACTGGAAATAATGCATAGCATGAAAAAACAAAAACAAAACCAAAAACACTCTACAGTTCCTTAGAGACTATGAACATATTATTTAGTGGGACTTAGAAAAGATTGGTAAGTTCTACAAGTAAATGTGATTTGAGACCCTGATGTTAATGAATTTCTATCCAGGGACCACTCTTGACTGCACTGTGACTTGGTAAGTGATGTCTGACTTAGATAATACTTTTCTGTAAGTTTTCTCTCTATGGATCATGATTTTTTTTAAACTTTTAATTTTAATATTCTAATAATCTAAAACATATTTGAGTCTTTGTCTAAATAATCCATTTTAAATAGGAGAATCAATTTGAATGAAAAATTAATTACTATAAAGTTATATTGGAAAGAGGTGACTGGGGATAGTTTGGAAGCGTGTGACCTACAGGATATATTGGTTAGGGAGAGGGAAAAAGGAGGAGGCAAAAAAAATTCACAAAGATGTAAAGAACATCACAAAGTTAGTAGGTTGCTTTCATGCTTAGTACTGTTTAAAGTTGGAATATCCTTCATTATAAGGAAAGAACTGAATATTTTTAACACAGGAAGATAGAACTAAGAACTCCTAGGGATCATTCCTTTCATGGAGTAGCAATAACTACACACACATATATATATCTAGGAATACTAGTGTGGCACCTGGGTTAATGCACTGGACTGCAAAGTTGATTTGAACCACAAGATCTGTCTTTCCAGCTCACCAGCCCCTCTTTTGAAACCCTACACAGGGTCACTATTGGTGGGAATTGACTTGATGGCACTTAACAACAATGCTACTAATATGCCATTTCAGTACAAATTCACATCTGTTTCCAGTGTCCTGAAACTATTCTAAAAGGGTTTGGAATTATGTTTGTTTATGCTTAGTAGATACAGACAGCATCAATAACACCAATCAGCAGGAACAATTTCCACTGGGCACACCATTTTTGTTTTGTGTTCTGTTTAACCGATTACACAGTATGCACAGAGGACTGTATCTGAATCTCTCTCTCTTCTCAACTTAATTTGCCACATTCTAAATTTGTAGATAAAGTGATTCTATAGGTGGAGTTGTTTGGATGGGTTTTCCTATGCTGTGATCCACAAAAGAAATAAAAGCCCTTGTATGCAAAATAAATGTGGGGGGAAACACAGAAAAATGAATAGGTCAGAGTAAAAATGAATGTTTAAAAGAAAATTTAAATCTAATGAAGTTGGCAATTATGAGAAGCACATTAAAGCATAACATATACAAGCTTTTATTTTTCAAATTAGTTGCATAAAACAAGACACCTCAAGAGAAAATTGAAGGTTAAAACAAAGCAGAGTAGCCCATCCTCCCTATTAATTGAATACTGTTTTCTTTGCCAAGGTCTAGGGAACAGGTCCTCATCGTTCTCATGGTTGCCTTGTAATTTTAGGGAAGATGAGCAACCAAATTCAGGTCAATCATCCACAATTTTGGGTGCTTTGAGGAAAGTATACACTTAAAGTAAGTAAGATTAGTACCAGATTATTAATTATAATTGGTCACATACTTTGCAGGGTGACTGCAAAATGAAAATGTGGTGCACCTTATTCAAAAATTGTAAGAACTTCAAGACAGTGATATCAGAGCATTAAATTAAATATGGGACACTGTGCAACTACCCAAGTTTCATGCCCATGAAAGCTGGCTTGGTTACCAAAAGCTTATGCTATCAATCTTCTAACACTATCTTTAAATTGACACCGGTATCTAATGAAGTATCTAATAAGTGCAAAGCTTATGCACTATATTTATTATATATGTTTAGGAATAGTGATCTTAGATCAGAATCATCATTGAAAATGAAAATAAAAAGTAATAGTCAACAATAGCTGGTGTTGAAGTCATTCTGTAATCCTAAATGCAATTTTGAAATACGAAGTCTGTAATCTTATTGAAGTTTTGTAACACTTAATCATTTTCTTCCCCACCTCCCCCTCCAAAACAACAACTCTCTGGAAGCACCCTTTTACAAATCATATTTTTATAGAGGTGAATTCTCCATTTCAAAATACTACTTCTGTGTCCTTCTATAATTGCTTTTGTGTTTGTATATGTGCTTGACAATCTGTACTTCAAAGATGACATCACTTCTCTGAAAAAGTTCTTTCTATATGTTTTCCAATTTAGGGTTTATTTCTTCTTTGATTTGTCTTTGGATTCTACTTGGAGCAAATGACTGTTGAAGAAATTATCTGAGTTTGGGATTTCTGCATAGTCATTCTGCATAGCGCTAATTGGATTTAGCTTATAAGGCACTTTCTTCTCATCAATAAATGATGGGTCTGTAGTGCCAGTACCTCCTGGCAGGGACTCAAGAGTTCTTTGCTCTAACATAAGAATGGCTCTCTGGATATCTTATTCAGTAGGCTGTTACAAAATAAGGACACATAGCCTTAAAAACCTCAAACTTTAAACAGATAACTCAAACACAAACTACCCAGTTATAGGAAGGGGTGACTCACCTGGTCGATATCATTGTTCTTCCTTGATTTGTATAGAAATTCTCCAATGGCTACAAATACAGAAAGGACCAGTCCAGCGGCCAGGACAATGAAGATGCCGCCAATATTTTCTACGCCTAGAGCACTGGCCTCTTTGCTGTCTTCCTCAGGGCAACCATTACCTCTCCACCACTTCTCCTTCATCATATGCAACTTCCCCTCTTCTTGTAATTGAAGAATAGCAATTGTAATTTTATCCCGGTAAGGAGATCCTGGAAGGAAGGTCATTTGGATGTTAGTTACCCAAAGACTAGACAAGTTATCAAGAAGTATTTTTTTGTTTTAGAGAAAGCTAAAACCAAAAACCAGATGCCTTCAATTTGACTCAGTCATAATGACTTCATATGTGTGTGTCAATGAAGAACTGTGCTTCATAGGGCTTTCTTTAAAGCCTGACTTTAAAAAAAAATTGTCATGTCTTTCTTCCAAGATTTCTGGAGTGAACTTGAACCTCCAACTTTTTGGTTAGCATCTGAGCACATTAACTCTTTGTACCACCCAGGTACTCCATGGTTATTGTGAAACCTCAATTTCACAAATACAAAAATGTAATAGCAAAGGACAGCAAAATTCAATCCTATGTTCTGATACCTTTAAGTAATTGAAAAAAGGATAGCTGACATTTTGAGATTAACTCTGGTCCAAACTGTCAATTCCTATTATATATAGAGAAGTTAGACTAGAAATTCTGGCTATTGGTGAATCTTTTGTGAGTCTTCCAACATTAGGGTTTCATTGTTAAGATTCTACTTCTCCTAGGCTGTTTGTTGTTTCATATTTTTGTGACAGAGCCTGATTAAATGATCACTAGTGCTATTTCATCTTCTTCCTAAGTGAAGAGCTAAACAGTTAGCAGAACTCTTTGTAATTCAGAGTGCTCATATTATTGAATTCTAGTTAATCAAATAGGAACAAAGATGCTGTATGACATTTCCAGAGCTGGCACATAAAATTTCTCAATGGTATCCTTTATTCTTTCTCTTTTTCCATTGTTTTCAAATATGCAGTTGGAATAAAGAATTTCAAGTAGTCAGGGATGGTGCCATTGTAATATTCTTACTTTCCATGCAGGAGACTGGATTAAATCCCCAACCAATGCATCTCATGGGCTGCTATCACCTGTCTGTCAGTGACGGTATGAATGTTGCTACAATGCTGAGCAGGTTTCAGCAGAACTTTCAGGCTAAAGTCAACTAGGAAGGAAGGCCTAGTGATCTATTTCATAAACCAGTCAATGAGCACACTATGAATTACAGCAGTCTGATCTATAATTGATCATGTGACTGGTATAGGACTGGACAGTGTTTGTCTTCATTCTAAGTGGGGTCACCATGAGTCAGGACCAACTTGATGGAATGTAACAACAATAATACCAATAACAAAAAGTCACCAAGTAAGAGAAACTTTGGTCCTAGAATAACTGCATGAATCAGTGCCAACTCTTACTGTGCAAATTGCAGAAAATGTAGGAATGATGACTATACCATTAATCAATGCTATCTGATACCACACAGTATGATACACTAAAAAGTAGGTTTTAAATAATCCAAAGGCCCTATAATTTTCAATTAAACTCAGAGAATTTGCAAGTACCTAATCAATAGTATTTTGTCTTCTAGTAATGCTACTATAATTTATTTTGCTAGTTAGGGGACATATATATATGTCCAAAGCAGTAGCCCTTGTAACTCCCTCAATACTGGGTTCTTACGTTAATCAATGCAAAGAAAGAGACAAAGAGAATGTAAGTCTCTTTTCTTCTTAAGCAGTAAGAATCTTTGTTAGCATTTCTTTGACACTAATATAACTTTTTGTTTGCCAACTTTAAAGCCATTCAAGGTAGGAGTTGTTTAATCTAGACCACTCATTTTAGGAGTCCTGCTGTGGCACTGTAAGATAAGCGCTGGGTCATGAGGTCCTTTGAACCTCATTGTCCAGGATTGCTATGAGTCTATGAGTCAGAACAAATTTGAGGTCTCTTAGCAACAACAACTCATTTTAGAAATTTCCTTCCTGCAGTTAAGAGTTGTTGGCAGATGCAAGAATTAAACTCCACCCTCCTGACTTTTAAACCAAACAACAAAATTCATTGTCATCAAGTGGATTCCAACTTATAACAACCCAATAAGAATGATTCCTGAGATTGTAAATCTTTGAGGGAATAGACAGTTTCAATAAAGAATCAAACACTGTCCTCATTTCAAAACAAAAAAAAAACTAAAACCCACAGCCACTGAGATGGTTCTAATTCATAGTAACTTTATATAGTGCTTTCTAGACTATAAATCTTTATGGGAGTAGGCAGACTCATCTTTCTCCCACAAAGCAACTGGTGGGGTTGAACCTCCATCCTTGTGGTTAGCAGTAGAACACCTAGCCCACAATGCCACCAGCAGTCCTTTCATTATGTCTATCCTAATGGAATCCTGATGTGGCTAAGTGCTAAATCGCAAGGTCGGTTTGAACACCAAGGTTTATGGTTCAAATATATCAGCCACTCTTTGGAAACTAAATAGGGTGGCTATGAGTCAGACCCAACTCAACATAACTTAAAAACAACAAAAATACTGATGTTTCACCACTTGTCTGACAGCTTTCCCACCTTCTCTTACCATGTTGTTGTTGTTGTTAAATGACATCCAGTTGGTTCTGACTCATAGTGACCTTATGTAGGGTTTCTGGGGAGCGGCTGGTGAACTTGAACCACTAATCTCATTGGTTCAAACTGACTTTGCAGCCTAGCCCATTAACCTACAGCACCACACCAGGACTCTCTTCCTATAGATGTGGTCAATTTTTTTCTGTGTATCCATTTGGTGAGACTAATGTGTATAGTCATGTTTTGTTGTTAAAAGTTATCTGCAATGAATAAGTATTTGGTTTTGCAAAATTCTACCATAAGATCTCTACCATCTTTTCTATAAACAAAGCCATATTTTTTCCAAATATTGATCCTTCCTCAAAAGGGAAGACAACATTCAACATGTCTCAAGCTGAAAATTTGGGGAATAAAAATTAAGCCTCAATTTAACAATATTGAAGGATTCTATGCATAAACTATTGAATGATAAAGAAAGAAAGACTTTCAAAGAGACCCGGTGGCATAGTGGGCTATGCATTGGACTCTGCTAACTATAAGGACCACCATTTGAATCCACCAGCTGCTGTATGATAGAAAGAGAAAGCTTTCTGCTCCCTTAAAATTACAGCCTCAGAAATTCTACATAGGGTTGTTATGAACAAGAATCCCTACATAGTATCACTATAAGTCAGGTTCAACTCAGGGACTGTGTGTGTGTGTGTGTGTGTGTGTGTGTGTGTGTGAGAGAGAGAGAGAGAGAGAGAGAGAGAGAGAGATTCCAAAAATAATGACAGACCTTTTTTCCAAATTACCCTTAGATGATTTCAAACTGTCAACCTTTTTGATTACTTAACCATTTGCACCCATCAAAAGACTCCTTGATTCCTGGTATTACGCTGTAAGATAAACACTGGATGACTAATTACAAGGTCTGTGGTTCAAACCCACAAGCAACCCTATATAGGTTCGCTTTGATTCTGAACCAACTTGATGGCATGTAACAACAACAACATCAACAATAGAAACTCCTAGCAACCAGAAAGAAACTCAACAAAGACACAGAGGAAATAAACAATACAGTTAATCATCAAAGCACTTAACCCAACAACAGCACGATACACGTTCTTTTCCAGGGCACATGGAACAGTTTCTAGAACAGAACATGAATTAGACCACAAATAAATTTTTAATAAATTAAAAAAGAAAAAACAATCTAAATGCTATAAACCATCTTCTCAGATAACAATGCTATAAAATTATAAATCAACAATAGGAAGATCAAGGAAACAAATCAAATCCATGGACACTGAATAGCATCCTGTTTAAAAACTACCGGTTGAAAGAACAAATGAGAAAAATGAAATAAAAAAAATATTTGAAGCATTTGTTGTTTTTGTTAGGTTTCATTGAGTTGGTACCGACTCATAGTGACCTTATGCACAGTAGAACGAAACACTGCCCAATCCTGGGCCAACCTCACTACTGTTACGACACTTGAGTCCATCAATGCTGCCACTTGGCCAATCCATCTCGTTGGGGGTCTTCCTCTTTTTCTCTGACCCTCCACCCTCTAGTCCCTCCTGACAATATGTCCAAAGTATGAGAGATGAAGTTAGGCCATCTTGGCCTTCAAGGAACACTCTGGCTGTACTTCTCCCAACACAGATGTTTGTTCTTTTGGCAGCCCATGGTACTTTCAATACTCTCCTCCAACACCATAACTCAAAAGCATCAATTCTTCTATGATCTTCCTTATCCATTGTCCATCTTTCACATGCATATGAGGTTATTGAAAATACCATGGATTGGGTCAGGCACACCTTAGTCTTCAAGCTGACTTCTTTGCTCTTCAACACTTTAAAAAGTTCATGTGCAGCAGATTTGCCTAATGTAATACGTTGCTTGATTTCTAGACTGCTGCTTCCATGAGTGTTGATAGTTGATCCAAAAAGAATGAAGTCCTTGACAACTTCAATCTTTTCTTCATTGATAAGAATGTTGTTTATTGATCCAGTGGTGAGGTACCAGTTTGTTTATCCATTCTTCCATTGTTGGGCACTTAGGCTGTGTGCATCTTTCTGCTATTGTGAATAGTTCTGTGATGAACATTGGTGTGCGTATACCTACTTGTGTTCTGGCTCATTTCTTGGGGATATATACCAAGTACACACACACAATGGAATATTTTGCAACGCTGAAGAATAACAATGAATCTGTGAAAAGTCTCATAACTTGGATGAGCCTAGAGAACACTATTCTGAGTGAAATTAGTCAATCAAAGATAGGAGGGTGGTGAGTGCTCTCACTGACTAGAGAACAGACATATATTAGCTTGGGTGATGGGGAGGGCAAAAAGCAAGAAGTGGGAGGACAATGTACAAGAAGAGAGAGGGCTGCAGAAAAATAATGAAGATAGGCAGAGACACAAGGAAGTATTCATGGTTAACAGGGATAGATGTAAATATTAAAATATACACAACCTTCACACAGCAGTATTTTGTATGTAGATACATGGATGGAGACATAGGCTGAATGGGTAAGGCCAGAACAGTGGGAAATAAACCCATCAGCTGCTCCTTGGAAACCCTATACAAGGTCACTATGAGTCAGAACCAACCCATAGAGAGTTAA